TAGACTGTATAATAATAATAATAATAATAATAATAATAATAATGAAAAAATAATAATAATAATAACAATGACAAGCGACAACATGAAGGTGTGATTCTGGGTTAAGAAAAAAGGAAGAAGGAGCAATAATTATAATAATGAAATTATGAACTTTTTTTACAGCTGTTCATGTAAACGTATGGATAAAGACAAAAGAAACGAAAATCTGACAAACCTGTCTCTTTTAGCTGTGAATAATCTTCCAAGATTGTCCTCAGATCTGATGTGAGAAAAACCTAAAAAAGAAGTTTTTAATTGCATACATGTAGTCACAGACAAAATCATACAAGTACTTTGTTCAAATTCATGTAGTCATACAGATAAGCATACGTTTGGAGTGGAAGCTCTCCAATTGGACACTTTCAGAAGAAGACAGCCCTCCTTACAGCCAACAAACAGCCGTTTTCACAAAACGCCGTTTCAACTCCTATACAAAGTCTGTACTTTTACCTTCCCGTAATCAGAAAATTCCTGTAAGCCACTGAAGACACTTTTAGGCTTTACAATATGATTTTGGCTTTGTTTTTAAGCTCTTGTAAGTGGAAATCCAAAATGAAACCCCAGTCTCCTCTGAATCTTGTACAACTTCAAATCACTGTTCTTTACAATGAATTTTTATCAGTTTCAGTGTTGGTTTTTTCATATAAACATCCCCCCATTTACACTTCAAAAGACCACTTGAATTTTATGCCTATGACTAAATTACAACATTGTGAGAACAACAGTATAGCTAAACACTAACAAACGTTTTTTAACATTCGTAATGTTTACTTTAACGGTGTAAGCTCCTGTAATTAGCAGCCACTTAACCCTTTAAGCCCCAATATCCACATACAAATTCTCCAAACTGATCTCTATACATTTCCTTCAAGAATAAATTGAGAGAATTTGATAAAAGATCAAGGCATTTTCCCCTAGGTGATCATTTTACTAATTCTCATAACCTAATCTCTTGACATTGTATGGATATCGTTAGGAGGAAATTGACATTAGTCACTATTGGGACTTAAAGGGTTAACTCTTCTTACCCCTCTGGAGGCCGCATACAAGAATCATTCTTGTAAGTGGCAAGCTCCAGGACACCTTTTTTGCATCCCGAGGGTGTCTGCGCATGCTTACATGAGCTTCTACTGTACTAACAAAGACAACGGTAATAAGAGGTGATAATGATGGTGATAATGAGTCATCAAGGTTAAAAGACTTTGAATGAGAGTGTGACTTTGAATGACTTGTACAACCACAAGCTATGGTGGCAAGAAAAATATTCACAAGAACCCTTCTTCAGTGTACCTGGTCCAAGTTATTGTTGCCATTGTGAAAAAGAGAGCATTCTTCCCGAAAAGAAGCACAAGTTCTGTGAAGTCCCTCCTCTGTCAAGTAACCTACAATAGGACAGACCATATACATTAGATTGTAAGACTTGTTAAAAAGATGATATAGCAAACAGCATGCAGTAATATTGCTATAGATAATAATTTGTAAGGTGAATAACAGTTTGCAGTGTACATTACATGTTTATTTAACCTTTCCAGCCCTGGTCTTTCATGTCGGCTCTTCCTTGTGAGCTACAAATCACACAAACAGGACATTCTACAAAAACATCTTCAGATGGCTCAATTGATCTTTGCATCCTATGGGACGCATACCACAAAATAATTATTTTGCGTCTTTGGGGATTTTTATGCCTCAGGGACGCGGGACGCAGAGGTAATAAAATCACTGAAGAGCCAATTTCATAAAACCAGACAAGGTTAAAGAAAACAAGATGTGACCAGGAAAGTCAATAATATTATTATGTTGAGGGGGAGGAGGTTAGGAGGAAGGGCTCAGCTAAACTCTTATGCTAGATGCAGGGTTGTCACTAAGATTTCAAGTTGCCAGGTAAACACAACAAGTAGGCGGGGAATCAAACGGCTAGGGATTTCTTTTGGTTCTATTTTTCTTCTATTTTCCAATAAAAGTAGCTGGGGACCACTCTCTTAGTAGCCGGGGAAAATCCCCGGCCCCCGGCTCTTAATGACAACCCTGTAGATGTCTTGAATTTTACAGGTTCTGAGAGCACCACGCTCCTTTATTTTTCCTAGCCCACATCTTCGCACTTACAGAGATAATTCTTAATCCTTAGAAAGCAAGGAATTTAGAAGAAAACTCAGCATATCCTGAGAAGCAAAATGTCAAAAGATTTCTGAACTTCTCATCATGATAAGTAACTGGAAGAAGTCAAAGTCAACTACTGAAACATCTGAGACCTCAGTCAAAAGTTATCCAACCTTTAAAAATTCACGTCATCACAATCAGTGATGGAAAGAAAAATCAGAAAAGTACAGTCAGCTGCATAGAGTACTCTTAGTGCAGTTTTTTGAAAGTGGCTCGTTTAGCTAGAGAGACAGTACCTCAAAACTTTCCCCAGCTAAGTGCAAGAAATTGTTGTTTAGGCGTGCTTAGGCATGAGATGAAAGTTTTTAGCCCACAGGTGTGAGGCTCACATTTAGGGCACGAGAAAAGGCAGTAGTGAAAAACCATAGTAGTGCACTATTACAGTCTAAATATTCAGACACATCAAGACTCCCAAAAATCAACAAATCAAGGTTTAATGTCAATCATATACCAATCAGCATTCCTTATTTGGAACAAGGCTACCATAGAAATATTACAACAGTCAATGTGAAATTTAAGTGGCATTTTGATTCCTACAATCCTGATCAATCTGCTCTGCATAAGCAAAAGTCATTCCCCAATAATAAATAGAACACACTGAGAATTTTGCCTGTACGTTACAATATCGCAAAAGGGTGGTCTACTAACCCGGTAGGGGGGGGCAGGGGGAGGAACTCCCGTATATGGACTACATAGGTACAGTGCAGCTCAGAGATGAGCGCACATGCCACCTTAAAGGGTATGGTTTTTGAGAGTCTCAATCCTTAAATACGGTATCATTTTTGCCCATTTTGGCATTATGCTCCCAAAATATATTAGAGTACCCACCCCAGGTTTGCTAAGGACTCTCAATCTAACAACCAGAGTCACTCTAGCACAAAGAAGCCTTTAATTCTCTTATGTTTAAGCCCTGTTTCCTTGTGAACTCTACAGTTGCTAAGGATGGCTCAGTGATTACAGCAATCAGGTAGTAGCATAATAGACGTTATTTTTTTTTGTTTGTCGGGCGAGCAAAAGCAAGAATGAAACGAGCAAGGAGCGCCAGACACGCAAAACGGGGAAAGGCACAGAAAAAGTTAAGCCTGTCCATACACCATTGTTTGTGCTCTTCTGCCCCTGACACACCCCTAAATGAAGAACGAATCACAACGTTTGAACAATGTATACTAACAAGAAAGTTCAAAAAGGTCAAATTGCTGATGAAACAAAACAGCCATGTTTACTTTCTTTATCTCAAGAAAGTTTGAAGTACAGTAAACACCTGCATATAAGAACAAGCGGATTAAGAACACCAGGCTGAAATTTGGCCAATAAAGCCCCATTTTTATAAGAACAAGATTAGCCTGAAAATTGTAACTTGTTCTTATAAAATGGAAAAAGTGTCATGATTACAAAGCATGTAAGTTTATGATATAATATAATATATAATATGATCAAATTACTGGATAATTATTTATTTTATTTTGCTAAAATATGCTTAAAATATACCTCTAGCAACATGTTTTGGATAGTATTACTTAATAAAAATTTAAGAACATTTTGAGGCTGATTTGTGATTAAGCACCCGATAAATAAGAACTCAATCAGCCTGACCTCCAAAATCGTGTGTTCTTATATGCGGGTGTTTACTGTACTAATATCATTATTCACTATCTGCAGAATATCAGATGTTTGGCGAGTGAAGACTCAATCTTCAAGACTTTTTTAAAGACATTTAAGCCCAGTAGCCGTTTGGAGTCTTTGAGATCAGGAGATTGTCTTGTACAGTGATAAGCTAAGCTATCGACAGGGCTATTGATTAAACAGGGAGCCAACAATCAGCTCCTGATAAAACTGATTACAGCTGCCACCTATTTTTATTGATCCCTGAATAAAGTAAAAAAAAACTTGCTTGTATTGCAAAGAGAGTGACAATTCCAGGATATTTCATGGAGTGATTAACCATGATCCGGGCTGATTGGACAGAACAACTCATATATATTTACTTTAATATATTGACTCAGCAACCAATGGCTGTGATATAACACTGCACAGTAAAAAACAAAATATACAGAAGAAAAACGAAAGAATCCTCTGGAAAGTGTACTACCAAAACCATTTTACCGTTTCATATCAATTAGCCAAATGGACAGCTACATTCACCACATGAACGTCGGAGGAGCACAAACAATGGTGTGTGGACAGGCATTATTTTTTCTACACCTTCTCCCGTCTCACTTGTCTGGCACTCCTCGCATGCTTTGCGTTTGCCTTCACTTGCCCGGAAAAAACCGTAAAAATAACACCTGTAAAGCGGGCTATCAGGTGTCTCTAGTCCACTAATTGTGGCAACATCCAATTGCTATGTTAAGTGTGATAAATTATGTACAATTCCTGGTCTTTCTCTTTAATCAAAGAAATGCATGTAATTTTATTGTAGTGATTATTGTTATGGGAACAGTGCTTTAGCTTTGGTGGCCTCTTTGTATTCATACATCACTCAATAATATTTTTATTCACCCTGATTCATCGATGTTATTACTTTCCCTGTTGCAATAAACATAAGCTTAATTTACGATTACATAAGCCTACTGCTTCTTAAGCCTGGTTCTCATACGCCGCCGATGCACCTGCGACATGGCCGCTGGTACTGCCTAGGATACTGTTCCGATATGAGAACAGAAGTGGCCGGCAACATTGCTCATTCCAGTCTTCACCCCCAGCATGCCTGCGAAGTTGACTCAAGTTCAACGTCGCAGGCATCCCGGTGGTTGAGCCCTGCAATGGCTCTAGTTGCCGGCGGCACAAGTTCTCATTCGTCCGAGAAGTGTCCCAGGCGGTACTGGCGACCACGTCGCAGATACATTGGCATCATATGAGAACCAGGCTTTACCCTGGTCTAGTCGCAGGTAGTAGTGTAAGCTTGGTATTTTCTGTGTGATACGTTACAAAAATATCATGGGTGACTTAAGCTTGAATGACCATGAATAAACCTCGGTTTAAACATGAATTAAGGTAGCAAAATCAGCAGAGTGAAATCATCGATTACGCTGCTGATAAAAATGTGTATATAGTATACAATAAGCGATTTGATTTATCAAGCTTTGAAGCTACGAACTTCGAGCACCGCTTTCGATTCAGATCCTTCGATATTCGACATCAAACACCCATCCCGTCTGTTAATTTCGACCAGTTTATAAACTTACCTAGTACTAGCTTTGCCACTATGCAGCCTTCGATCATTTTCTGACAGATCGGCAGTATGCAGGCGAAAAAACAGACATAAACAAAGATATTTTTCTGCTGACTTTCGCGCGCGAAGTCACATTTCCGAAATGAGCATGTCCTGGACGCGAATGTGTTCCAGAGTACTGCAGGCTCTCAATACTGGGTGTCTATGTATAAGCCTTAATGGAATGTCCTGTCATTTGACAGGGGTATCAGGTGTATTTTAGATCTGATGCAATGACTGCAATTTGTCATATTTATTTAAGATAATCAGGACATAGCAAAAACTGTCTGAGGAAAAAAAAACTTTTGATAATCTTTAACATTTCTTTAGTGTTACTTTTATCCCGAATCGGACCATTTTTTTCGCAGATCAAGTCTGCTGGAAAAACGTCTAACAAAAATCGTGATAACACTCACACAATTGCACAGGTTGCCAAGGAATTTCCCGCGCGCGAAGATGCAGCGAAAAAAGCAAGTAGAATGTAATATTTGACTAATTACGTAAGAACCCCATTATATTTTGCTTGTTATTACGGCAGATAAGCGGCTTCAGCTAAAAAGGAAGAGAGCTTCACCTTCGAAAGCCTAATGTTTTCTTTCATCGGGTGAAATATTTCCGACAAGATTTTTTATAATACAAATAGCCTGCGTTTCCCCTTCCTTGCGAATGTATTGCTCGGTTGATATTGGGCCCCTCCAGGTATGAAGTAATTAATACAAAAAAGAACACAGCCATGTACAGATATAGCGTGGTTTTAGCCATGCGTGACCCAACAAAACAAAGACTACAAGACAAAGCAGCGGAAATGTCTGTGCTTCAATCAGTGCGCCCGGATAAAAAGGTGCAATTTCTTATCGTTTACCACACAAAACCCTTCTTGAATCTCATTTTTCCGTCCCCTCTGGTCATTTGGAATAAAAGATACGTGATGCGTAGTTATAACATTCATTAATGAGCGCGCCAGACGTACGCAGAAAACTGGAAATTGATTGCAAGCGAAGAAACATAAAACGCGAGGAATTAAAATACACCATGACAGACTTGACCTACACTCATGTGCTTTGCCATTTAAGTCACGAGATCGAGACAATCAAGGCACTTCAATACGACAGCTGATTTGATATTCCCAAGGGCCAGCCGAACTGATATCGTTCGTTTGAACTAAATGACACTGGAAAACAAAGGGGGCTTTGTACTCAGGGAGAGTACAACAATTGAACCTGTCTTCTCTGCGGGTAACATTCTAAAGTGACAATAACCCAATCCTTTAGTGAGCTCTTTGAATTTGCATAAATTTTACCAACAGAAACCCACGATGCAAGCACATGGAAGTGATGTGCTTGTTTGAATTTCAAAGATAACATTAAAAACAGCCTCAAGAATAGAATGTGAAAAAAATATCCCTAACTGCAAGCACCTGTAGTAGGAAAGAAGCAAAATGCATGAAAACACCCGTATTTATTCTATTATTTTCTGTGGTGTAGTTTGCAACCTTGGTATTAATGAAATTAATAAATGAGAAAACTGCCAACAGAAAATAATTTATTGTCTTCAATACCATAAATATAGGCATATAGCATTGACATATATATGTATATTTATATATAATTTTTGTGACACAGTGGCCACAACTTCTTGCAACCAATATAACTAAATTCTAAAGAAGTCTTGCCCTGTTATAATAATTCATATTCACAATATTACAAAGCACTGCTATTGAATCTATAGCCTGATACAATTCAATTTCTCTCAGAATAGCTATAGGCTTCTTCTACACATACCAACTTGTTGATCAGCCCTTTGTAACATAAGAGCAGAAATTATTTTGGCAAACACGCAGCAAACGGACAATAACTTTAAGAAAAATTCTATAAACTGTACAACTTAACTCCATTTAAAAATAATGCTGTCAGCTGGTATAAAATGTACAAGTACAAATCTTTTTCTAGACAGGATTGCTGCCACAAAGCCAAACATATCACAAAACACTCAAAACTGACCAACACTATTTTTACAGTCAATATATTAAAACATTAACTTTAGAGCGACCAGAGTTTTACACAAAATAAGCCTGAATCAAAACTCCCAGACCAACAGCCACTACTGGTACTCATGTCGAACCTAAATAGACTTCCAACAATTTTCAAAAAACAGAGAACTTGGAAAACCTTATTTATATCAACCGAATGATTCCTCTGTCCTTTCTGGCAAAGCAAACCATTGAGGGGTAATTCAATACATGTACAAAAACAATTTCTCCAATAACTGTAGTATTATTACAGTTAAAATACTGCTTTTAGAGATGAGAATACAGCGATATCAATAGCCTTATGTATTATCAATAAAAATGTGTAATAATAGTAAGCACGTCAGCAATCAAAAGGGCTCTATCTTTTAGCACAGATGTGAAGTAATTCCCACATATGTGCCATAGCACCTATCTGACCAGGCCACACTGCACACCTGTGGCATGGAAGATTCTTCAGCTGTGATTTTCTGCCAAATACAGGATTCAATAGAACATCAATATTCTACAGATACACCAAAAGTAAAGAATATTCAGGCAGTCGTTGACCCCGAAGGCGCAGACCTCAAAGGATGGATTCACAAAATCACTTTCATTTTTAGAACAAGCGTGTAGTCCTTAATTAGTTCTGCTACAAAATCTCAGTATATGTACAATAGGTTAATCTTTAAATCAGTACAAACCACTGCGTAGCTCCCCTACATTAGGTATCTGATTAAAAAACTGCTCTATGTTTATATCAAAGCCACCATCTTTTAGTTCGTCATAGATTATCCTTTCAATGTCACAATCCAGATCTCCATTGAAATTGTCCATATCCAGTTCTAAATCACTCGGGAATTTCTCGTTCATAAACTCCAGCTGGTTATTATTTGTTGTCCGGAATTCCCTGTTGAATGGATTCCCCTGCTGGTGCAAAGGATGTTGTAGTCCATTTTCCTGCTGCATCATAAGCGAGGCCGGTGTAACTTGCTGCTGTTGCTGAAGGTATCGAGGTTCTGCTATGTAATTAAAGCTCTGATGATTTTGTGGTAACCCATTAACACAGGGGTTACTATTAGGAAAGCCAGTGGCGTGAAAATTCTGATACAAATTTTCTGGCGTTTGTTGAACCTCCATGTCTTGGTCCTCACAGTATATATTATTTACCCTCACAGGGGTACTGCTCTGCCGGGGTGCCGACAATTCTTGTCGAAAGTTCCTCTGATAATGGGATTGTTGCAATGGAGCTTGCGAATACGATCGCAAATTACCAAACACAGGTTGAGGGGCGGCGATAGTTTGCGGGGGAAGTATCTCTGGACTGAGAGACTGTTGCGGGTGTTGAATAGGTTGTAAATATCCACTGCTATTGTAGCCAGTGTCAAAGCTGTTTGATGATATGCTAGAAGTGATACTGTTCGATACAGCCATGCCGCTAATGTCACTGTGAGGTTCGGACGGAAGTAGCTGAGGTTGTACTGGCGTCAAAGTTTGTTTTAATCTGTTGTTATTTTCAGCGGCAAACGAGTTCAAAGTCATCGAGTCAGCCATTTGCGACAGCTCATCGGCTGCGGAGTTTGGATTGTTAACCATACTGAAATTATTCGGAGGCATAGGATCCTCGCCGCATAATTCGAGTTCATCTCCATGAGCTGGTATAGGCGACAATCGACCACCAAGACTGCTGACTGTCGAGGCATTCGACGAAGTTCGCGGTCTGGCAAAACTGTCACCAAGTGGAAAAGGTAATGGGGATTCAGTTTCTGGAATTGTAAGCAAAGAATCTGAGCTCGAGCTATTAGTCGGCGAAACATTCCCCGGAGAGCTGGCTCGGTTTGCATCACGCGCCCGGCTAACTGACAGGCGAGGACTAGAAGGCGAGTCGCCGTCTTCTTCTTTAATTTTCTCCTTTCTCGATCGTCCGCGCTTTTTCTCTGATTTTGGAGCAGAGTCCAGTGAGCCTGAACGTCGCCGACTCGTTTTACCCCCTTTGGCATCAGGATTAAGCATCCACCACGAACTCTTGCCATTACCTTCGTTCTGAACCCTGACGAATTTGCTGTGAAGGGATAAGTTGTGGCGTATTGAATTCTGCAAGGAAAAGCGAGACAAGAGAAAAATCACTGTTAGGCACTGTGTTACTTTAGGTATACAATGCGTCGAAAGTGAAATTAGGGAGCCAGTCAGCTGTTAAAGACGGCAAATCAAAAGATAGACTGCATAAGAGGAAATGACATTTAAGCTTACCTTCCAACCCGCCGAACTATTACTATCTCCCTTGTCTCTAAAATAGGGAACTGTGTTCACCATCCAGTCATAAATCTGTGACAGTGTCAGCCGTTGCTCTGACGAGCTCTGAATCGCTTGAGTTATCAAGTCTGCATACGACAAGTTTCCCCAAGCATTTTTTCGCGAACTTTTCTTCGGCCCCTCGCTTGTGCTGAGCTGTTTCAAGCTAGGCTGATCGACATCACGTTCGGGTTTTGTAAACTCCGAAGGGTCTGGGAGGGGCCATGTATTCGAGCGAGGACGGTTGTCTCGCCTTTCCTCTAGGATCCCTGACTCGTCCAAGACGCTCATAACCAAGCCACGACAAATGAAACAAAACGTTAACTCGACACACTACAACTACCTCGGCGATTCCACAGAGCGAATTTTTCATCCAACACGCCGCCAGTTCGCTATATCAGAAATCGATTCCTGCGTGACGTCAGCGGTGTTGTCATGGGTGATAATATTTGGTACAATGATTGGCTAATGATTCCCGTTGAGTGACGTTGAACCCGCCTATTAATTGGAACCAATGGTGCTAAAGTACTTCCCTCGAAAATTGACCAATCAAGAGCCAAGGTGCTTCAATGCACTGCTGTTCGCCCACGCGCGTAATTCTTTTTGTTATCATTCTTTCGAACTTTGATTATATTGTAATTTTTGTCAGCGAACTGGAAACTCTTTGCTTTAATATATCGGGGAACCTCACGCGACATTCTCTATAGAAAAATCACGACCGTCGTTCGATGAAAATCACGGCGCTTGTCATGACAAAAGGGGAAAGTTAGTCGAGTATGAACATACTCAAAAGTGGGTCTCAATTTTCGCATAAAATAGACGGGCTCTCACGTCATAGTGAAGTATCATATTTCCTGCCTTGCAAGCTCGACACTCGAGGCCACCGGAAGCATATATTAAGAGTGCGGTTTCACTACAGTTGGGCAATTACATCGGTATGAATTTGTCAAGAACAAAAATGCCTTTTAGAATGTGTCAATTGCTTGTTTCATTCTGTTGAACATGTGCGTTTCTAGTGTTTACATTGTCCACTAATTGTATTAGTACCTTCCACTTAGTCCGATCACAGGTTGTTTCAAATTCCAGAAACTTTCACCCGTTTCACCCTAATTTTCTCTGACGGGTGGCTGCATAAAGAAACCGTAATTGACTGGTTGTAACTTTCTAGCTTGGCGACAAACATGAGACATAAATAATTTAATGGCAGACTGGCGCAACTAAGGCAATATACTCTGCACTTTCTTGATTTCCGGATAAAAATTTTTGGCTACGATGCGAACCAACCCCACTCGATCAATAAACTTAGATATACCTCCCTTGACATTCACCTTGGTCATCACGCTTGATCACGCATCAGTAAAACTATGGCATCTTTGCCTTTCCAATTCGTCTCGCCCAAATGTCGCGAGAAATTAAAAGTTTCCTACTAATCTTCTTTAAAATGCACAGAGCGAACAATAATGTAAAAAGGCCACTTTCAGTTCCCTATTGTCTGGCTAAATTTTGATGGAGTTGAGCTCTCTAGGTCCGCTGTATATTAAGCTATGCTCTCTTGGTCTTTTATCTCCGATAAATGGTTTTGGTTGTGTAGAACAAACCGTCGATAAATGTTTTATTGGTTCCAATAATTAAATTTATGATAAAATTTCGTGCCTCCGTTATCTAAGTGATTTATGAACTGGTTAAAGAGGCAAACATTCAATGAGGGCGTGCCAGTGGTGCTGCTCTAATCTTGGTTAATCGCTTCCATTCTCGGCCGCAATTTTTTAGCTGTGAGTTATTTCTTAGGATCTCAGATCTCAGCCAATAGTTTGTTTCAAAACGAAACTTAATTTTTCAGCTGAAATTCTAGTCAGTTCTCAGTTAAACTCATCCAGTACAGCCTCTGGACCCTGTTAAACACTGAATCGAACTCATTAGCAAGGTCTTGTGACCTCTATAATTGGAAAAGCATCAAGCAAAAATGATCCGCACTAGAAATACTTATAATACTGACCATTAGCAGCGTTAGTCCAGTATAAAACCGGAAAAAGAGAAACGACGCTCCTTTATAATTTTAAGTGCACAACTTAGTTTTTTAAACCGACTGCGTTTAATAGAGGTTAAACCACTTTTAGCCGACAGGTCGGATCATTGAACCGGTCAGGCACTTCACGTCAATTAGCATGAAAAGTTGTTGCGTGAACGAGTAGGAAGAAAAAGTCACCTGGCTTTGACAGATAATAGGAAAGTATGATAGCTGTATTGATGGCGAACAAATGAAAACAAGTAGTACCAGGTATTGACTGCTGAATGACACTAAAAAAAATTCAATATATACAAAATGCGACAGTGATGTACGTGATGTGCGATGACATGAATTCTGTTTTGCGTAACCAAACAGGGAATGAAGCATTTGGAGTCTGCAAACACGCTCTAAATCAAGAAGGAAATTTAAAGACGCAAGCAGGATCATTAACTGAAAAATACTGACACTCCTTTGCTTAGATATGACGTAACTTGTTACATGATTATGTCAGCACTTTTAAAAATTCAGCCATAATTTATTCAAGAATGTAGAGTCAAGTATTGACGTATTGGTAAAAATTTTGTAATTGTTTCAAACGGTGAAACTTAGTGGGAAAAAAGTAATTAATTTGTTGTTGTTTTTTTTTACAAAGCTTCATAGGAGCATACCGTTTCACACAGCTGTTTCCCGCTGCTATGCCTTTCGCGGGAGGTAATTTCGATTGCTTTTAAAAAAGGGAAACTTTGCCAAGCTCAATATAAATCAGTAAGCGACTTATGCGACCGTCAGGTTGAAATATAATTTTAAAAAAAACAAATTAGGGCATACCATTTTATTACAGTTTCCCGTGATTTAAAAAAAATGTTTTAAGCCTGGGTAAAGAGCCTTTCAGCAGTTTGTTAGCAATTACGGAGAATACCGGAATTTACACATTAACGATTTGTTGTTGCAATACTGGCTTCAATGAGGGTCGACGTACCTGCCTTATCATAACCCAGAATACATTATCATAAGTATTCTAAAGCGTCAAAGAAGGGTCTCGCTTGTAAAAGAGTCAGTAAGAGATGGATCACACCGGCCCTAAAAAAACATCCATGGAATAAAATTGCCACTATTGACGTTAAATTATTACGTTTTTTGCTAATTTCTACTAGTCATCAGCTGCTGGTCCATAAGTACAAGTCCAACGCGAATAATATAGCTTTTAATTTTTAGATATCTTTATATATTTAGAATGTTTATTTATAACCAAAGCTATATTTTTTTCTTCTTGACTTCTTCTTATAAGCCACATACCCTTACATTTTGCGGTATATGGTTTTCAAGTAGGTTCCCCTAGTGAAGCAACTCGATTCAAGTGACAAAAGATTTCCCTCTTTGAGTCTTTCCTCGCCCATGCATTCCCGTGGGTTAATCGCGTGGGCTACTCGCGTGTGCTGCTGAAATAACCAGCGTACGTGACCTGCCCGCGGACTGAATCTACAAACGGAAGTCCGCAAGCTTAATGTTATCAATCACAAATTGTATACGAATCTCAGCTAAAATCAACCAAACGCCGATTTAGTTGGAGTTTATCCACCTGCCTTCCCGCGTCATTCGCGATGTTGATACATTTCGAATGACGTTAGAAATTCAAATAAAAGAAAAAGGAAAATTTTGAGCAGGGAAATCGGGGATTTTGGATCACGGCGTCGGTTTTTGATGAGACCCTTTATCAATCAAAATCTCTTAAATTTAATTTCAAACAACTCAGAGGTTATACGCGTAGTAATGTTTGTCTTAACCTTCATCTGTAGTTTAAAACTGACATTAATAACGCAAAACAGCAGTTACCACTCTTGTTCTAAAAGATAGATATGAACCAATCCCAAACAGATATCGTGCCAAAGCCAAACACAAGCAGCCGGCTTCAAACGCGGGAAAGTATTTTTCGGCGCCAGATTTTCCAGCCAATCAGTAAAGAGTAGGATGGAAAAGTCAAATCGGTATCAGCGCAATCCGGGCATTTGAAACTACTGAACGCCTTCTTTCTATTTTTAAGGTTAAATATAATGAAAGAACTTTAGACTCGGGTACAGTAATATTAAATGCATTCCGCGACGGCTGGCGTATCTTACAAATCCATCCCAAATATACAATAGTACTACTATGAAATGGACCTTATTTGCTTTTATATCCCCCATTGAAGGTTTGTGTTGCAAACCGAAATATCAGGGAAATATAATTCACCATTTTATTTTTGTTTTCTTTCTTTATTTTTCCAATCACTCTTCCTGCCTTAAGGATCAGTTTACTGCTCTTATTTTAAAATTTGATACTGAAGATTTTACTGATCCAGGCCTACTAAATATCCGGCTGACCCTCACTGGTTTGTCGTTGTGGTTTTGCCTTCATGCACAAGTGTTTCATATACAGTTGGGCTCCTAGCTACAGTGGCAAAACTAGGAAAATATATTGATAACAGTTGCATGCACTATTAATCAAGCCTTGTGTCCTACCGCACTTTTAATATCGGGCACGGACTAACTGTACTGAAGAAACTTTGTTGAATGCAGGAAATACTAAGAGGTATGAAGAGTTACTTAGCCTCGACCTCTATATGCTCAGTAGAGCATCGGAGGAGTGTTTTTTATAGCACTTTCTCTAGTTTATACTGATACAAGTTGGTTAATGGTCTTCACCTTCACATATAACTAGCTTTCCAAGGCCATGCAAAAAAGGAACAATGTACAACAATTTCTGTGTAATAGTTAGTGACATAACTGGAAAATACTGGAACAATCTACCAAACTCCAACTTAGCCTGTACACAAACGTTGTTTTATTTTTCTTTTCAAAAACATCAGCGAGCGAAGCAAGCGCGCGAGAACCACTACCCCCTTCGCTGGCGGTCAATGAATCCCCTGCGGTTTATATTTTATCACCCGCGCTCGACGGTCTTTGAAGAGAAAATAGAAAATAAAGGGTCCGTGAACAGGCTAACTCTAACTATAGTCCATTACTCTTCTTCGAGACTATGCATCAGTAGTACAGTAACACTTCAACGGATATACGTAAACCGTCCTGCTTCTGATATTTTCCCGTTTTTAGGGCAGAAGGCTCTGTTAGTTTAATTTTTTGCTTATTTTCGTATATCTGTATTTCTACACTTAGGCTTAGTTTTATTTCTATTAGTTATAAATTAGTTTTTCGATCATTTTTCAACTCGATGATCCTTTACCTCGTCCCTCACGTTGACTAATCTTTGACATCAAACAAATGATTTGACGATTACTGTTACTATTACAAT